CTGAGGTAGCACTATAAAGTCGGCATCAGTACCGCGTTATCACAAGGAGACAAACATGAACATATCGCAGCCTCCCAAAACACACACACACACACACATACACACTCACTACACGCATGCATATTGCACACAGTGGAGGCCGTCCTTAAATGACCACAGCTGTCGATAGGACGTTAAACAAGACTAAACCAAACCAAATCAAACGTGAAATCACAGCTTATATACGAAGTAATTTGTTTGAAGATCAAAATGTCATCGAGATCATGCCATATTCTATTAAATACAGGATGACTTTACATTGTCACGAGAGAGCAGATCAAATCTTCACTTCACCAACACACTTAATTACAATATACATAATTATATTTATATACAAAACATCTCCGTCTCCACCTGACCAAAGCTGTTACGTTGACGTGGGGCTCTGGACAAAACAAGCACAAAACATAATATGACACTTATAGAATATACATATGAGTACAATTTGTATATCAATCTCGCTAACCGTCATATCCAAACAATTTTTAATCAATATAATTACATGCTTTTATATGTTTAAACATATATAGGCAACGAAGTAATAACGATAGTGCAGACAAAGGAATTGGGATCCAGAGCCCATATTGAATCATAATGTTGCTATAATTTATGAGACTTACAAACTTAAGTCCACGACATTTTAACCAGTATAATAGATGTAGGTAATTTCTTCTTAAACGCACGCACATATAAACATGCATGGAAGCATGCTTTGATTTAAGCTATGTTGTGAGGTACGCGAACTGATTATGCAGTTATAAAGTGAGGTACGAAAGCGAAGCAAAGCTAAGTATTTGTATCTCCTACCTCATTTTATGTACCTCGCTTTGCAAGCACGCATTCACGTTCTCGCATATAATGACGCTTACACTGGTTGGGTGGTGCAGTGGATAGCGCATCGCCTTTCACAAAGTCAGCCGAGTTCAATACCTCGGTCGGGCGTGAAAATGTATTTGGTCAACTGCCCAACCACATGAGGTTTCTTCGGGTACTCCTGTTTCCTCCCCCATTAAGACCCCCTGTCCACTACCATCCTCATTTCACCATATATTTGGTCTAATGCCCCCGCATATTAGAGCGGAAATATAGATAATGAATTGTTAGATTGACCGTCCCCAATCAATAGCCTTAGCTGTTGGTGTATACATGAGACCATGGCACATTGACATTTATTTTATATCCCTTCTATGGTTTTGTTTGTAATTGCTCTGTTGGTTTTTCTTTTAATATTCCTAGACAGTCGAAAATAATAATAACTTCTTTCTTAGTGAAAGAGAATTAGAATTATGATTTTATTCATACTATTTGGTTTTCGCTCTCGGGTTGAAGCCGTTGGTCTATAACTATCATTTCCATTCCATGTGTCGTGTTTGTTTGGGTCCTATGATGTTTTGTTGAATAATTGATTTTCTGGTGCTTGGGGAATTTGTTTGCTTAGGGTTAACGTCCTCGTTACAGCCAGTGTCATATAGGGACGGTTGCATACGGAGGCACCGCCGGGAAGAGTTTGGTTTGTTTGTCTTTTACAACCGATTAACAGCTATGGTCATTTAAGGACGTGCTAGGAGGTTTTGGTGGTGGAGGAAAGCCGGACTTTCCAGAGAAAAAACCACTGACCTACGGCCAGTACCTGGCCTCTGCCCCACGTAAGCCTCGAACCCGCGACCCAGTGGTGGAGGGCTAGTGGTATCGCAGATTGTCAGTCAGTCGCCGTAACCACTTGGTCACCGCGGCCACCTCAGGAAACAGAAAGTAGCTAGAAAAGAAAAATAACATGAAAGATAGGAATCCGGATTTTTTTTTATCCCAAGTGTTGCAATGGGGTCAGCAGATGTCGGTTTCTTTAATGTCCCCTTAGTAGACGACACAGAAGGAAGTGCCCCATTCTGCAGGGGGACAACATACGTCGTCTTTTACTATGCGCGCGGATTGGGATACATCAGGTCTATTCTTAGGTACCTCAAATTCCCCTAAACAGAAGACAGGTGGGAAATCAAACCAACCCGACTCTGCAACGGGCTTGGGGAGTACATGTAGCAACAACTTTGAAGTCGTCAGTGTAACAAGATATGCCAGTAGGTTTAGTAGGACTTGTACTTAGAACAACTATCATAACCATTTTTAACCTATTGAAAAAGTCACGTGTGTATGTACACGTGATCTGTTTTGCGTGCCAATTGCAAAACATTTGATTTTTATAAAACTGTTTTTAGCTTTAGCGTATTTCAATAAAAGGAGGTCATAGAAAAGATTCAGAAAAGATTCAGAAATTCGGGGTACTTTTTATCATAGGCTCTACAAAAGTATGATATACAATTTTACATTTTGAGGACATTTTTTTTTATTGTTGCATAGTTTATACAACATTTCGATCAAATTACAAAAATAGATAAATACACAAATACAACAAAGATGTTGTCTAATTAAAGAACAATAACACATGTCTGCTTCGCTCATTTTAAGGTAACTTCCAATGCGGAAGTCTAAAGTTGATGATCTATTGCTGATAATGTGACATTGAAATATGTTGGCAGTAAACGAGGTGGTGAATAAAACAATTGGCATTAAATCGAAGTTAAACTGTATTTAATATTATTTCATTGGTAGTATTAGCATTGTCGGGGAGAATTCTTAAATCTTGTGAAAATTTAAATTCTACAAGCAATTAACACTTGTTTGACCCTTTCCCTAGCTAATTTAATGTTAAAGAAAACATCTTCATGATTAAATTGTTTTGTTTTGAAGTAAATCTTTTACAGTTCTTAGTTGCTGACAGACAATCAGAACCTTTCTCCTCGAGAACGGTCCCAAGGGTGATACAGTACTTTCTTAGTGTACTCTTGACTATTTCATTGAAAAATACCGAGATCTAAGAAAACAAAGCAATGGAGGAAAATGGGAACGATGGGAATATATATCTCGATATATATCTCGTTACGATTCCGTCTGTAATGAAATTCAGTGTAGGTTGTGTTGATATAATTAATGGTGTGCGTTGGGCAAGTCAGTACAGGTTCGCTCCTGCTAATGAATTGCCCTCAAACAACACGATACAGCCACGGCACACAGGGGAATGCTGTTGTAAACATTTAACAATGCAAGATGTTTGTCGAACATGTTGTGTTTAACTATTATCTATGAAGTTCAGTCATTTCACTTTATAGCCTTTATGTATGGACTGCATCTAATCCGTCTTTGCGTATTGCAGAGTTATCTTCTCTTGTGAGCAGGTATTGATTGTTACGTCATTGGTATCTATTTTACACCAATATGGAAACAGGTTTCATACAGGTTCAATTACATCACTCCAATTGGCCAAAATGTGAATACCCTTCACTTCTCGGCATTTAAGAGTGTTTTTCCTCATTCCAGTTAATCTCATTCCTCGACAAGCCTCAGTTTTTGCCCCAAATTGTGTACCGTCGGGTGGGACATTTATACCAATGTACATATGATAGAGTTATACAGTCATACACGAACAGAAACAGGAGAAAGAAATGTCTTCCTCCCCTTTATTACATTGGCCAGTGTTGTCACATGTAGACAGGAATGAGAGAAAAATTCATGCAGGAAGCAAAGGGTTATACAAATTACACGAGAGGGACTAATCAACAAACCGTATTGATACGGACCGAAAGTGGAATTTACATTTTTATTATTTAGAAGATTTCCTGACCGCCTCTTTTTGATGAATAGTCACTCCCGTGTAAATTGTATAGACCACAAAATTACAACGCTTAGGTGAGAAATTATAGCTACTGACGGAATGTAGCTGATGTATGTGATAATAAGAGCGGGTTTGGATCAATAAATAACCCATTGATCGATATATGTGAGGTATGTGATTTGTCATAGTAGATTTTTGTTGTCAAAACCTCAATACTCTGTGATACCAAACCGGTGTCGGGAGAACTCCTCTTTTGTATATAGAACTGCGCTCAGGCCCCACACCAGACATATTATATCTGTTAAACAGTGAAACTGTGACGTCAGGATAGAAAAACTCGGGCTCCTTCGGGAGGTTGCCACTGTTCCCCGAACACATACTGTTTACGCTAGAATATTAGCAGTAGTTTAACACAAAGGTACGAATGGTTCAATGACGGTAAATATTGACAATGAAATTACATGGGAATATTGATTATCAATATTTCATTATATATATTGTGGAGGTTTTTGTGCGACGTAGTACACTTACAGAATGCGTCGTAATGGCTGTGAAAATAGAACCACATGTTCATTGATGAGGGAGCAAGTATGGATTGGTTTATATGTTACACATGGATATAAGCTGATTCAAATATAGTTGTTATGACAACGGAAATAGTATGTATAAATTACATTAATGACCACAAAGATTTCATCAAAGATTAAAAATAAACATGTTCATTTAAAAGAAAAATCAATGTTACGACAACGGACACATTTATAATTACTGTTACACGCGCAAGACACCTGGACATAAATATATCTCTTCTTATCTAGATGTTAATAATTAAGCGGTCCTGCTGAAATAGTTTTATTTGACAGTAAGGCCTCTTGTTCATAAACCTTTCTCAGGCTAACACTCCAGTCTTTTACGCGTGCATATTTTCTTGTCATCCTTGCAAGGAATCGAAGCGTTAAAATGGATAATAAGATTGGTACTCTAGACTAAAGATTTACTTATTTTGAAATAGATGGAACCTAGGTGTGATCATGAGGATTTGGTATATACGGGACTTCTTCTTTTCTCAATAATTTTAGAGATTGAGCGGGTGTTTCTCTAGTATCAAACATACTGTTGTTGTTCTAAGCTTGCCTTCATGGTTAAGACATTTCTTGCCGGCTTGAAGGACCCTTACAGGTAGAACAACTTCCTATCTGTATCTTATTGTGTTAACTTAATTAATATATCATTGCATACAAAATCTCAAATCAAAGCGGATATTTACCGTGTATGTTGTTCCTTTTCATTGAAGGTTACTTGACGATCGGAATCCCCACTGTACAGCGCGAGGGAGTCGATTACCTGGAGGACACGATTAACTCCCTTATAAAGAACACACAAGTAAAGGAGCGGAAGGAGGTCATCATCCTGGTCTTCCTGGTTGACCAGGAACACGACAAGGTCACACAGAGGGCAAAGAAACTTTACGAGGCTTACAGAGAACACGTGGACTCGGGCTTTATACAACTAGTGCACCCCGATCACCAGTACTATCCGGACTTCAGTAAACTACACCGAAATTTCAACGACTCGGAAGCACGCGTGGCTTGGAGAAGCAAACAGAATATAGATTATGCGTACATGTTTTTATATAGCAAAAATTTGTCTCAGTACTATATGCAGATAGAGGATGACGTTCTTACAGCAAAATCATATTTAAGTCAAGTGAAACGATTCGTCAAGTCAAGACCATCAAAGATAAAGTGGTTCTGTATACAGTTTTCCCACTTGGGCTTCATTGGGAAGATGTTCCGAGCTGAAGACTTACAGTCGATCGCCGAATTCCTTCTGATGTTTTATTCGGAACAGCCTGGTGATTTGTTGATAAACTATATGAAAAAAATAAAAACGCAATTCAAGGACATTCTAATGAAGCCATCTTTGTTTCAACATCGAGGAGTTATCTCTTCCCTCAAAGACAAGAAACAATTCCTGGTAGACAAAAGTTTCCGAGACAGGACGAGTACGGATAGGAAAAAATTTTATCAGAAAAATCCGCCCGCAGACATCTTCAGTTCCATAGAAGTGTACGATAATCTCAAACCCGAGTATGCTTATGATCTGAGCAACAAGTATTTCTGGGGACTGAGTCCAAGTTTAGGGGACTATTACAGAATATCTTTTCATAAACCAGTGAATATAAGTCGAATTTACGTCGATTCTGGTTATCCGAAGAACCCTAAGGATATTTTATGCAATGCCGCTTTAAAAATATCCAGAGTGAGTGATTCCAGTCAACTCACTCAGGAAGCTTGTGACAACAGAGAAATGTTCGGGACGTTCAATCGCACCGGAGACTTCGACACCATAGCGCAAAATAGCAGCATGCCCATATATAATGTGGGATGTATTTCAATAGAGTTAACAAAAGCTCAGAAAGAATGGGTAATCATAAGAGAAATTGCGATATTTACCGTGACATGATTTTACCGTGACGATTGATATGTTTGCATTATGTTATGTTGCCTTTGTATTTGTTATCCTGTTATTTACCGTAGTACAACAGAGGTACAGAGCGTTTTATAAGTGTATAATTAAAGACGTAGAAAAATCGTTTAACGATGTGTGTGCTACTTAATAAGACATGTAATCAAATATGCCCTTCTGATTGTGATACCCCTTTGGATTGTGATAAGGTATTTTAACAAATCTGAATCAGGCTAGTCATTTAGATTTGCTAAGTTAATATTCGTCAACACATTTAACACTTAATCTTGTTTAAATGATGAAAGTCAATACAAAATGTAAAATTCATGGATATATATATACACTTTCTATGTACAGTCTTTTGATAAACCCACCAACCAAAACTGTTGTAATAACCTAGCAAAAGCAAGAACACGTGTATGTTTTCGTTCTGCAACTGTTCGGGTCTTTCCGTGAAAGTGTTTGAGTAATCGGGAACCAATCATGACGTGATGTCCAATTCAAATTATGGCGGAGAGTCCCAATTTGATTCCGATAAGCGTTCGCTGCCTGACGGAACTGGTAACCTTAGAAACACGATCTATTTTGTCCCCACCAAAAATATCTGTTCTGCAAATTGGTAAAGTATTTTGTTTAAAATTTATTTTGAACTTGAAGAGAACCCCAAAGAACGGTAAACTCATATTTTCTTAAATGTTTTGAACGTAAGTTTTAGGATTTAAGTGCATCTTTTAAACATGTATGATGGTATGTTTCACAGTTCGATTCAAATATTTTCAATGTAATTCAATCCTTATATAAATATCATCTGAAAAATAAAACGACAGCTATGATTTTAAGATTATTAGAAATATACTTAAAGCAGTGATTTTATGTACGAATGGTGTTTTTTTTTGTCGACCCTTAAATTGTTATTTAATTCGTTTGCTTTGCTATATTATATCAATTGGTGCGGAAACTTACCTCCTATAATGTCCATCTTGAGAACATAAGGTCATCATTAGGCGTGAAGTTGAAGACTAAGTTTTTCATTGCGCGTTCGTCGAGAACACGTGTTATTCTCCACGCCATCATCATCATCATCATCATCATCTGATTTCCAGCTATGGTACGTATTTGAGTGTCTTTAACTGCCAATGTCATGTTCAATCTGTGTCTTAAGGCTCTCTGTGCCACTGCCAAGACTGTAAAAATGCATTTGCAGCTATTTTTGCCAGTATGACTTCAGCTTGCTGTGAGGAACTCAGCTTTGAACAGGAAACAATGCCAGTGGGCTTTTATAAAAGATATTATAGATGAATAAAAGCAATAGCAGTGTTCTGAGTGTACAAATACAAAGGGGCTAGACAAGGATTTCAACACCAGTCCTTATACCCCTACACCGTCGCTCTAACAAACTGAGCTACCTGGTCTATGGAAGTACCCTTATCCATGCTTACAACAACTAATCCCATAGGAAATAAGGGGAGGTTACTGTACAATGTATGTACGAAAACTTAAGCGGAACTCTCTAGTGTTTTGCTTTCTGTGGAACAGGGATCCATACATGAGTTGTGACCGAAACCTTATTTCTAGACAAAGGACATCATGAGCGATTTTCCATGCGATGGAAAAAAACCCACTTAAACTCCCGGAGATATTAGTCCTTCTTAGGATCCTTCAGGTGTTTGTTAAACCCGTTTAAGTGTGTATATGTGTGTGCGCATCGGCTGGCATTGATTTTATTTTATGGTGTCTTTTTATATTAATGTTTAGTACTGATTTGGTCATTGTGTATCGTCATGATTGTTCAGTTTAATTTTACGCCGATATCAACTTATTGGAATTATTTGTTTAGGTAATATTTTAAACTACCATCACATTATGTAGGTATTTCATCTCAATATTTTCTTATGTATATTAAACCAATATGGCTATGAATCCGTGACACAGATGAAGATCCCTGTACCACTGCCACAAGCTGTAACTAAGTGGTAAAAAATGTTCTCCAACATGACTATTCCGTCTTTGTATATTGCAGAGTTATCTTCTCTTGAGAAAAGGTATTGATTGTTACGTCACTGGTTTAAGAGAGTAACGTCATCAATTTTTGAGAAAACGACGTAATTTTCTCACACAAACCAATGACGTAACAATCAATACTTGCCCCCAAGAGAAGATAACTCTGCAATACGCAAAGACGGAATAGCTTTGATAAATCATTTCTGAAAAGAAAACCATGTCTTGCGGGACAATTAGGTTCAGTGTACCTGTTAAACAGAGTGTCTTGGCCCAACTGTCCTTAAGAGTATCCGAAGGGGAGGTTACACTAAATAGAAAAACAAAATACAGTGGGACAGGGATCCCTAAACGCTAATATTCATGAACCCTTTATATAAATAAATACTCTGTTAATATACTCATTGACACTATGACTGACGTCATATTATTTAGTGATAGCGTTGCTAGGCAACCTCTAACATTACTTTTATCAATGGGTGACAATCTGAATTACTCATAATAGGTCCTGGTCATTCGAATTTGATATGCATGCACATAGGGGTTGATGAGAACGAAAGTGAGCGTTACCTCCTAGATATCGAGGATGAGTGTTCCTATGTATCATTTGGCAATCCTGAAAGTGGAGGACGGTTATGACGAAGTGGAACTATATGAGTCATCTACTGAAATATTAGTGTAGTGTATTGTATGCTCCCTCTTTCACAAGTCAGTTAAAGTTACAAGGTAGCGGTACTCCAGGAGTATATACTAAAATACAAGTTACTTAAAATTACAAGGTAGCGGTACTCCAGGAGTATATACTTAAATACAAGTTAGTTAAAATTACAAGGTAGCGGTACTCCAGGAGTATATACTTAAATACAAGTTAGTTAAAATTACAAGGTANTTAAAGTTACAAGGTAGCAGTACTCCAGGAGTATATACTAAAATACCACAAGTCAGTTAAAGTTACAAGGTAGCAGTACTCCAGGAGTATTTACTAAAATACCACAAGTCAGTTAAAGTTACAAGGTAGCAGCACTACAGGAGTATATACTAAAATACCACAAGTCAGTTAAAGTTACAAGGTAGCAGTACTCCAGGAGTATATAATAAAATACCACAAGTCAGCTAAAGTTACAAGGTAGCAGTACTACAGGAGTATATACTCAAATACCACAAGTCAGCTAAAGTTACAAGGTAGCAGTAGTACAGGAGTATATACTAGAATACCACAAGTCAGCTAAAGTTACAAGGTAGCAGTACTACAGGAGTATATACTAAAATACCACAAGTCAGTTAAAGTTACAAGGTAGCAGTACTCCAGGAGTATTTACTAAAATACCACAAGTCAGTTAAAGTTACAAGGTAGCAGTACTCCAGGAGTATTTACTAAAATACCACAAGTCAGTTAAAGTTACAAGGTAGCAGTACTACAGGAGGATATACTAAAATACAAGTTACTTAAAATTACAAGGTAGCGGTACTCCAGGAGTTTATACTTAAATACAAGTTAGTTAAAATTACAAGGTAGCAGTACTCCAGGAGTATATACTAAAATACCACAAGTCAGTTAAAGTTACAAGGTAGCAGTACTACAGGAGTATATACTAAAATACCACAAGTCAGCTAAAGTTACAAGGTAGCGGTACTCAAGGAGTATGCACTAAAATACCCCAAGTATCAATAGTGTGGCGTGATTGTACCTATAATCTGGCATAGCTAATTAGTTTATTATTTCTGATACATTACTGAGGCACCCGTATGGGGTTTTATACACACTCTTGTCGCAAATATGTTATACATTAGCCACGTCCCAACGGAAAACCCCTGGTTTAAAAGGGACGGATCGATTGCTCTTCACCTGGTTAATTTCCTCAGTCTAGCTTGATTGTACCTTAACGTATAATCAGGCATAACTAATTAGTTTATCTGCAAGAATCTGTTCTATAGATACAAGACAGTATGTGATGATTTAGTGGTACTGCACGGGAATTATACTAAGAGTACAGGACAGTAGAGGTTACAGTGAGGCGGTACAACAGAAATCTTGTTTAAAAGTACAACACGGGAGAGATGAAATAAACTAGTACCACAGTACTAGAAACAATAAAATTGTCCCACAGGAACATGTACTGTTATACGACTATAAAGTTTATATAAAAATGCTTTGGTACTAAAGTATTATTTACTGTAAGCGTACTTACTTTCAATTTATTTTTTATTTCCGAAAAAGCAATACAGAATAAAGGTTAAATGTGTACATAATACACAAAACATATTACAGTTTTCAAGATGGCGGAGGACAATTCCATATTCCGTAAATAAGTACCTAATTTTCATTACATTTTACATGACAATAATTCCATTAACTTAATTGTTCAATGTGTGTGTGTCTCGGTTCAGAATAATGTGCAGGACTAGTAATAAATAAATGTATCCCATGTTCTATATCAGTCTTGTCGCAAGCTGAACATATTATTTGACCTCTTGGATTTAACGGACACAAATTTTAGCATGTATGTCGAATTTTAACATATTAGCGCACTCACAAAATATGCAATAAAAACTATATTTAGAACATTCAATTAGCGAGGTCGTAAATAAGCGCAAAGTTTAAAGCGCTTAAAACGCAAAAATGAGAATACCGCTTAAATAGGTACGTTTACGGTTTATCTTGTTTGCGAAAACAATGTGAAATAGTGCAACATTACCACGCAAACATTATGCCTTGAGCATTTAAAGCGTCTTACAATACCATCACAGTTGATTTATAAATAGCTCTTGTGATTGCCAACTCGATTTGGTAAATAATGTATATTGGTGTTCCCATGCTAAGATAAACATTGTATTTTGAAGATTTCCTTGTAAAATCTGGTATATGTGAAGTGCCCTTATCTGTGTCTTGTTCACTATTATTTCTATCACCAATAAAATGCCTTACAATTTTTCATTAGTTTTGTTCTTTTGTTTTTACTGATGTTTGTTCTTTGTCATCCAGTAATTTTATTAACGATGAAAATTAACAAAGTGGCCACTCTGATTTGAAAAGTGAAACAGCATTTGCTAAGCGATCCAGGCAATCAACTAAAATAAATACGCTCATTTCTTTATTGTGAGAAAGTTCAACCTTCTCAATCCTTTTTCCGTTCTCTCTATTGTGAAGTTAATTGATTATGCAACAGGCTGGACGCATGGCTGAGACATGTTTTTATATTCAATAACAGATATGAAATGAAAAAAAAAGAGTTAACCCATAGTCCCCACCATAAATCACACGTATTTCTATAAGTATCTGAAAATGTTGTAAATGCCTTTCGTAAGTGATATCTCGCAAGGTACATAGGGTATTAATATTCTAGATTTTTTTTCGCATGGCGTCTTTAGAGTAAGCCATCCTCAAACAACTTACTGGTACATTGTCCACGCCGGAGGAGACTGGGGCCAACATGCAGATTATATGCTTTCAATATATAAGGATGTAGTGTCCTGTTAAAAGCTCAGGTTATCTAAGGACGTGCATCCGTGTGTGTAATGTATGTTTGTGTGCTGGAGGCGGGCTGTTGTCTTATTTACCACCTTGCGATAGCGCAATAATTTTAGTTTGCTACCTCAATAAAACATCATGCCGAAGGCACCTAGCACAGTATCCCACCAAGTCACATTACACTGAAAACGAGTAAACCAGTCGTTTCTCATACTGTAAATGTTCAACGTTAAACAGGGAATAACAACTTTTTTGTGGGAACTTTTGTATACATCAGGCTAGTTACACGACGGCGATGACTCTGTCTTAAAGCCAAAACGTGAAGTGTTGCCATGAGAGGCGTTACGAAGGATAAAGTCAAAGAATGGTTATACATGTAAAATAGAATAGGAAAAAGATAAGATCCCAACTGTCGCAAATTGGGTTTTATACACACTATTGTCACATGAAATTTATATCGTAATTACGACTTAGTATGTCGAAATTGGCATGTGATGCAATGACCCAAAGGGAAACCCCTGGTTTAAAAGAGATATGGGGATTGCTCTTCATCTGATCCCTTGCCCAAGTCTGGTGTGATTATACCTATACTCTGGCATAGCTATTATTTCTGATGAATTACTGAGGCACTAACCCGTATGAGGTTTTATACACACTCTTGTCGCAAACATATTATACATTAGCCATGTGCCGCCAAGACCCAAAGAAAAAAACCTGGTTTAAAAGGGACGGTTCGATTGCTCTTCACCTGGTTACTTCCCTAAGTCAATCTTGATTGTAGCTAAATGTATAATCAGGCATAACTAATTAGTTTATCGATACGCTAAAGCACATCCCTACCCCCCCCCCCCCCCCCCCCCCCCCACTTCACCCCCTGACAACAACAAAAAGGCAATATACGGGGTGAATGTCGTGATTAATGTGTGATGGTGTAAAACGAAATGTAAATGTCGTACCAGTGAGATATGTTTTCGGTTTGCAAACAAAATTCATTATCTACTCAGAATATAAGAGTACTTTTATGTAAACAAGCACGTTATGAAATGTTCGTGATCTCGAGATTTGAGCTAAATAATTGTCTTGTTGTTTATACATGTACTCGTGATAATTTGCACAATGTATGAAGACAAAACAGAAAACATGACGAAAGTATAGCTGTGGCGGTTGGATTTTGAAACAGTACAAGTCAGCTTCACCACTGTTATCGGAATAACTGATATACGTAGTCGCTTGTGAGGCACCATAATTGCTGATGGAACACTCTTCATTGATGACGGAACAGACGTTATGACTGATGAGGCATATGTTATTGATGATGGAGCACATTTCGTTCATGCTATAATGAACATTATTGTTAATGGAACACTATATATCATAGGAAAAAGAGTGATACTTTAAAAAATCACCAGTCCTATGAGAGTTGGTGTACCATACGGTTCTGCACTCATCCCTTTACTGTTTTCATTAATTTTCATAATGATATTTCAAAAGCATCACTACTTTGATCATCATCGTTATACAGGGGTAACGCTCACTTTCTTCCGCCCCTGGAATATGTCATAGCAAAATTGAAGGCACACGGCTAGCTATTTGATTGGTGTCGGGTAAAAAACCCTGACCAATCACAAGGCTGATATTTGTCCTTTGAAGATTACAGAGGAGCGACGACCGACTTCAAAGCCAGTAAGTTTCACCGTTACGCAACCGCGAGATGCTTTTGATGTACATCAAAAGATCAAACTATTCTTCTCGTGTCGTCCGTAATGTGCTGCACACTGAGCCTTCGATTTTGCTATGACATACTCCAGGGGTGCAGAAAGCGAAAGTGAACGTAATCCCTGGAAATCGAGGATGTACTTTGATATTCGTTACCAAACTATTTAACGATGATACTGTCCTATCCCATTCTTCAAATAAACTTTTGAATGAGACAGACTGTGTGATAAAATGCGACACTTGAACAGCTTAACGTATGGTTAGTCCACAGCGTCATTAATGGATTAAACAAATGCCCATATTTTAACAAAGTACGTTATATCTAGTTTAATGAGGCCGCTCCTTGATTATGCATGTACAGTTTAGGACATCCGTTATTTGCAAAGATCTGGCAATACAGTAAACAATCAATACAAGGTATTGACATATGTAAGTTTTTTCAAAACACGCAGATATCATTCTTAGAAGATTATTTTACTTTGCCTATGACAATTAGTTTTTGTCTGTTTGTTTTCTATGTTTAACTTCCTATTTACAGCTATGTGCTGTTAAGGACGTTCCAGATTTTTGTTGGTGGAGGAAAACCGGAGTTCCCGGGGAAATCAATCGACCTGCGACTAGCACCGGGCTACCGACAATCAGATTTGTTTCATAGGGTGACTCTCAAAACCGTTGTACATATGCACGAAAAACATATATGTATGAGACAGTAACGTCTAGTTAATGCTGATGTCAAAGCTGATCATTTGGCAAGCTGTAAGTCGATGGCTATCTATCTATGATAAAATCTATATTTAGATGGTGAACGTAACAATTAATTAGTAAATTCTGCGGATTAATCTTCAAATGTAGTCGCGGTGTCTTCGATCGCGGTGTGATAAGACAGCAGATGGGGCCTATATAAAATAATAGAACACGTGTTAAGATATCGATAGTTGTTTACACAGTGACAGTCTTCAGTTCACCCTATAAACTTACTCATGTTTATGTTTTTATTCAATACTTGCAATACATGCTGATAGCAATCGCCAATCTTAACAATTAAATTAAGTTTACTTTCATTCATCAGCCAGGCGCAGCGAAAAAACCGAATGCACACTGCTCATGGGACACAGGCCTACTTTAGCTGATGAGCACACTCCTCCCAAAGAGCTTTACATTGTTCAAATTTCTTTAGTTGAAATTATGAATCGTTAAAAATCACAAAACAACATTTAAAAGAAAGTTATGAAGTAATATCATAGATGTCATTTCTTATTTGTGCATGTATTTTCTATACTCAAGGCATAAATACCTTTGGCTGTTCATTTGAGTATTAGTATTCTGACGAGGACGTTATTTAGTTGCGGAAACCTTTGTTGGTTTCACTTGTACTAAGACATGCATTATCATTAATTTAATTTAGTAATAGATGAAAGAATAAATAAATTAACATAATCATGTAAACATTTATGATAATTTATTCATTTTTTTCTCGGCCCCCATGTCTGCCATGTCATATATTTTCCTTTCATATAAGTGTGGAAAAGTATTTCACACAGAAGAAACTTTATGCTCTTGTCACTAAAATGATTGAACAACTAGAAACATTGAGTAATTAAATGAATTAAGCAATCAAGTTGGAAGGAAATAATTTGTTTAAAAACATATCAAATATCAATTATATGAAAAATATTATTAGATTCCAACGTCCGACTATTATTGACCTATGAAACGGGAGCTTTTAACATTAAAAAAAAATCATGATTATAAAATTGATAGTAGCTGTAGGCATTAACAGAAAAATGTAAGGAAGACATGTATTTATTACTATTTATAATAAATCTAAAAAATATCAAAAACAAAACGACACCAGATTTAAAGCTTATACATGTCCTCTTCCTTAGAGGCATGTAGACTTATGGACATAATATACAGTATCTTCAGTATATAAGTAATGAATATATATGAAACTGTCACTGATAAAAGTCATAAAATAGCGATTATATCTAACATGAGAATTCATATTGGGAACTTTGCCTTAAGAGAATATGAGAAAAATTCGTAGACCCTAAGCAACTCTCCGAAACATGAAGTTATATGGTCGAATGGTATAAGGAATATGAAGGTTGCAAAATGTAAAATGATAAAAAGTAAAATAAAAGATAATAACCCGAAACATTACACGGAGACAACATATTAATAAGGTCTGTTTTGAAACCTAATTGTAGACGAAGAAAACCCTGGATTCATATAAGTCCCCTCATACTATGATGTAGTGGTATACAACAGGTCATCTCATACTATAGTGTAGTGGTATACAACAGTTCATCACCTGCTCTTTATTTTTCGGTACTAAGGGCAAAGGAATGAAAACAACCTATGTCTACGGAGTTCCGAATTATCAAGGTAGAAAACAACCTGTCTAACGTGTTCCGAATCATATACGTAGAATACAACCTCTCTTTATTTTTCGGTACTAAGGGCAAAGGAATGAAAACAACCTATGTCCAGGGAGTTCCGAATTATGAATGTAGAAAACAACCTGCCTAACGTGTTCCGAATCATCCACGTAGAATACAACCTATGTACAACAGGTCATCTCATGCTATGATGTAGTGGTATCCAACAGGTCATCTCATACTATGATCTAGTGGTATACAACAGGACATCTCATACTATGATGTAGTGGGATACAACAGGTCATCTCATGCTATGATGTAGTTGTATACAACAGGTCATCTCATACTATGATGTAGTGGTATAC